TCAACGCTCAATTCCTTGACCGTTGCTTTGTAAGAAGTAATTGCTGAGAAAACTCAAACGTTCAAACTACTAGTTACAAAAGCCTTATGTCCCTCTCATCTAAGAAACCGATCCCTATTTAAGAAATCACAAGAAGCCGCCCAGGAAATATTGCCTGGATAGAAAGAAAGGCAGTAGAAATTTCATTGCCCAGTGCATTCATAGAGTTGAAATACTGCTATCTCAACTCTATGAGTGCTATAGCCTGTATTACGATTTTTCTGTCAAAGATTTGATTTATAACATTTTCCTTCTTTTGCGATTCCAATTTCTTTTGCACTCTTACTAACTTCAGGAAGGTAATTCTATCAGTCTCTTACCCTCCCTAAGTGTAGAAAGACCACCTTACCTGACAATATTGTGATTATCTCTGAACTATTTTCTTGTCATTTTGCTATTGATTCACTCCTCTAAATATCTAATCAATTTTGCATGTTCAATTTAAGGCTTCAGAAAGGTAAAAAATTCTGTTAAATAAAAATAATAAATTTAAAAAAAAAATTTAAATTTTTGAGCAATTTTAGCTCAAATCAAAACATATTGAGAAATTCGCGGATTTTAGGAAAAAATAGGACAATTTCTCTGAAATCATCGCGGAAATTCGAGCAGCGACAGACCTGCAGCCCTTACTTATGGTTCATTACAATATTAATGTCGGGTGAAATAATAAATATTATAGTTATGGCTGAAAATAGATAAATGAAAAGTATTGTTGTAGTTTCAAATTAAACCACACCACTGAGCTTCACGATCAATCTACCACTGAGGATATTTTACTACAGCACTGTGGTTAGTGCGAGCTGAGATCGCAATTCGTAACAACTAGCCATCGCTGGGATTCGAACCTGGGCCATATCATTTGGAGGTTAACCACCGCGGCTCAGGGAATGATTCGATACAAGTCGGACGGTTTTCGAAAGCGGAAGAAAAAAAAATCTATGTTACAATAAGCCAGATATACCACAATGACGACCCTCAAATTCCTATTAAAATTTTTATTAAGTAAATGAAGATTTGGCAATTTTTTTTTAAATTAAATAATTCTATAATATTATTATTATTTCTCAACATATGTAAATATTTTCTGAAACATGAGATCTATTCTTTCATTTGAAAACGGAAAACCACAGAGCAAAAAATTATTAAAAAAATTCTCAATGTGTCTGACAAATTATATCGAATAATCTGACGACATTATCAAGAAAAAAAACAAAACAACAAGCTTGTCGATAAACTCTAATAAACATTTCGTTCAATAAACATAAAAAGAAAACGTAAATAGCGTTTTCCATTCTCCTCGAAATCTGATTTATGGTTAAGTTGTTTCAGTTTCTGGTCTAAATTTCTGATAAATAGTTTTAAACATATATGTTTCTTTCCGACTCCCCACCTATTCTTTCGTATGAAATTGGTTTTAAATGTATCCTACAAAGCAAAAATTTTTTAAAAATTTGCACATTTATTATTAATTATATAGATTAATCAGACCTTGTTTATTAATCTAAGCGACCTCGGTAAAAATATACAAAATAACAAATTCGTAAAATAATTTTCAAAGGGAACAGCTACATAGCATTTTTCTCCTATCTCGAAACGTATTCTTAAAATTATCGGGAACATCAAATTGCAAATTTTGCGATTTTTGATCTAAATGAAATGTTTTACCAATGTTCATGACCTATTTGGGTATTTTCTGAAAATATGAGGCCTATACTTTCATGTGAAATTGGTTTCGAATGAATCCCGTTGTGAAAATATATATATATATGGATTAAACATTGAGACAAATNAATTAAAAGAAATCAAATAGCCAGAAGTAAAAAAAAAAATAATAATAGTAATAATTGAGCGTGACAAAGGGGAAAAAATAATGAATTCGTATTAGACAGATATCAAAATTCAACTTTATGTTTCAATGGAATGTGAAACAAGATTAATAAAATTAAATTTTCTCCCAGGAATTACAATTACATTTTCTTTCCTTAAATGCAACTTCGTGGTTATTGCATCTTTGAGTGATGAAAATGTTTTTCCTATCTGTTGGGTTTCATATACAGAACAGTCACGAGAAGTTCGTCATTCATAAATTCCAGGTGTGCCATTTGCCTCACTAATTTTTGAACATTTTATGCGTATTATTTTAACTAAATAATTGAATTCAAGCATAGCAATTACTATCTCCCTAGGTAATTATTAAAATCTTCATCATGAATTTTTTTCATGATTGGTAACTAATTTGGTATCATTAGTTTGACAGTGATATGTCAATGTAATGCTACCAATAAAATAACGCATTATACATTGAGGTGACAAAAGTCATAGGTTAGCAATATGCAAATGTGCAGAGTCACTAGTATGGCATACAAAATGCGTATATAGGTATTAACCGCAGGACGAAAATTAACTGACTCTGAATGTGGAATGGTAGACGGAGCTAGAAATATGTGACATTCCATTTCAGAAATTGTGAGAGAATTCAGCATTTTTAGATCTACAGTGTAAAGAGTGCGTCGAGAATACCTGATAATATGCGTGACCTCCTACCACGGACAATGGAGCTGCTGACCACCTGCACTTAATGACCGAAACCACAAATATCAAAAAAGTTCACTTTAGTCCCCTATAGGGGCTGTGGAATCAGTATTTTGAAACGAAGACAATGATGATTGAATGCATCAAACTAGATTATCTAACTAATTTTATGCTTTGATTTTTTATTCTTTTATCTGTTCTTTTTTTTATTTTTACATATTATAAATAGTTTAAAAAATTTCATATAAGGGGAACCGACTAAAGAATTGACTAAGGTACCGTTTTACTCCTTACTTTAGATACTCCTCTGATCAAAAATATGTGAAGTTAGATATAGTTTTTTTCTTCCTACAACGATCTATAACATCAAATTATTTAAATTAAAAACATAATCAAAATTAAAAACTTAATCAAAATTAAAAACTTAAGCAAATTATTATAATAAAAATTTTTAAGAAAAATTATCCCAGGGATCAAAAAATATTTTTGGGGGGAAATTCTGAAGATAGATATCGCAATGCATTATCTATTTTTATTTCACTTTCGTTTCAAACTTAAGTACAAATAATACTTTTTTAAGTTTTGTCGTTTTATTGTTTTGAAACAAATAATTTTATTGACTGAACTTTTTAAACTTGTAAAATGTTATAATAATCAGAGACGTTTTTCTCACATATTTTTCTTGAAATAAATGAAGAATTCCCACAACAGCCCTTTGTCTGCCAGGGAGTTCATTGAGGCTCCACAATTTCGTGACCAACGGCATTATTGGTAGCCTTCGAATTTCAAGCCGACCTAGGGATCGAAGCTCAGTTCTTCGCAGTGACAGTTCAGAGCCTTAACCAGGGCCCGATTATTGCCTAGACCCAATAGGCACGGGCCTATGCCCCGCACTTTCTGGGGGGAATCAAAAATTAGTAAAAAGTCTACAATATTCCTTTAAAAAAAAAAAAAAAAAAAAAAAAAAAAAAAAAAAANTAAAAAAAAAAAAAAAAAAAAACTGAAAGAAACAGTTTTTCTCAAAAAAGGCATTTTTTTATTTCATATTTTCTTTATATTGTGATAAACCAAACTAGTGTAAAGATTGCACTAATCAAATTTGAAAATACAGCTGAATTTTAATTGGTGCAATTTTTACTCTCAACAGCTTGAGCAAATGTAACGAGAATGCATATTCGCTAGGTCTCTTATAAATGATTAGTGTCAACAAGAACTAAAAGCTTATTCTTAACAAATGTAAAGCTGTAAATGGAAGGTTACAATATTCAAAATAATTCAGCTAATTAGTGACTTTTAGCAAAAATCACTGATTTCAATTGTTTGTGGTCACCAAACTATTTTCCTTTTCATACAACATTGTTTTGCTGTTTTATAGTTTGCTTTAATATTTAGATGCGTAAACTTTATCTTAGAAAAATAATCTTCAATTGTCTACTTTCAAAATCTTTTAGAATGTTTCTCTTGAATCATGCAATTCAATAGATTCTTTTTATTGTTAGGACTACTCTTCAGAAATTTAATTTCAAAATATTTTGTTAATGGGTTCGGAAAATTTTGTGGGCCTTCGGCCTGAATTTGTCTTGATCGGTCCCTGGCCTTAACCATATATGTATATATATATATATATATATATATACATATATACAAGAAAACACGAAGAAAGTTAAGAAAAACAATAAGTTTCATTT